TAATTTTCTTATAAAGATAATAATTAATTAATTTTTTAGAACTCGATATATATCTTAATTATATTTTATATTTTTTATATTTTAAAATAAGATGTTTATCTTCTATTTGATTATATTTATCCGCAATTAGTTATACGAATTCAAAAATCGAGCTTTGATAARCTATACTTTTGCATAATTTACTTGTAATCTTGAATTTTAAGTAAACATTGGTTTTATGTGGTTTTGAGAAAGTGGTAATATTTTTATTTTTGAATTAAATATAAATTTAAAAATATCATAAAATTTTGAAAAAAAAATATCGATATCAGTATTAAATTAATCTTCTTAAAAGTTTTTGTGTTTTTGTGTAATTTTCTTAATTAAATTCTGTTAGTTATCAATGATTATCATAATTATATTTTAGATTTTTTATATTTAAAATGAGATATTTATCTACTATTTGATTATGTTTATCTGTAGTTAGTTAGACGAATTCAAGTACTGAGCTTTAATAAGTTGTATTTATGCATAATTTACTTGTAATCTTAAATTTTAAGTAATATGCATCAATAAACAAAATACTTCGTGCATAAAAAATTGTTTTTAAGAGTTTTTGTCAAATGTTTTATAATATAGTATAGATTATATGTTTTAAAAAAAAAAGCAATAATGATTTTATTTTTAAATAAAATATAAATTTGAAGATATCATAAAAATTTTAAAAAATATATACCAATATTAATGTCAAATCAACTATTTAAAAGTTTTCATTTTTTATGTAATTTCTTTAATTTATTTTATTATTATAATTTAATTTAAGTTTAATAATGAAATAATTTATTTTTGGTTTAATAATATAATATTTTATAAATACTAGAAGGGTACTTGCGCAATGCAGCGAGATACATCTCGATTTTAATGTTTTATTTTATTTTTTTGTCTCTGTCGATGTTATAATTCGATTTTTGTGTTTTTAAGAAAACAATAATGATTTTATTTTTGAATAAAATATAAATTTGAAAATATCATGAAAATTTGAAAAAAATATATCAATGTTAATATCATATCAACTATTTAAAAGTTTTCCTTTTTTATGTAATTTCTTTAACTTATTTATTTTATTAAAATTTAATTTAAGTTTAATAACGAAATAATTTATTTTTGGTTTAATAATATAACATTTTATAAAGATAATAATTAAGTATTCTGTTAGAACTCAATGATTATTCTAATTATATTTTATATTTTTTATATTTAAAATGCGATATTTATCCTCTATTTGATTATGTTTATCGGCAGTTAGTTACACGAATTCATATATGAAGCTTTAATAAGTTGTACTTACATATAATCTACTTGTAATCTTGAGTTTTAAGTAATATGCATTAATAAACAGTATTTTACGCATAAATAATGGTTTTTAAGAGTTTTTGTCAAATGTTTTATAATATAGTATAGATAATAATTAAGTATTCTGTTAGAACTCAATAATTATCTTAATTATATTTTAGATTTTTTATATTTAAAATAAGATGTTTATCTTGTATTTGATTATGTTTATCTGCAATTAGTTACACAAATTCATATATGAAGCTTTAATAAGTTGTACTTACGCACAATCTACTTGTAATCTTGAGTTTTAAGTAATATGTATTAATAAACAATACTTTACGCATAAAAAATAGTTTTTAAGAGTTTTTGTCAAATGCTTTATAATATAGTATAGATTTTTTTATAATTTAATTTAAGTTTAATAATGAAATAATTTATTTTTGGTTTAATAATATAACATTTTATAAAGATAATAATTAAGTATTTTGTTAGAACTCAATGATTATCTTAATTATATTTTAAATTTTTTATATTTAAAATGAGATGTTTATCTTGTAGTTTATTGTGTTTATCTGCAGTTAGTTACACGAATTCAGATATGGAGCTTTAATAAGTTATAACTACGCACAATTTACTTGTAATCTTGAATTTTAACTTTTAAGTAATATGCATTAATAAACAGTATTTTACGCATAAAAAATAATTTTTAAGAGTTTTTGCCAAATGATTTATAATATAGAATATTTTTTTATATATAATTTAATTTAAATTTAATAATAAAACAATTTATTTTTGGTTTAGTATTATAAATTTTATAAA